AGTTCTCTGATCAATTTTATCAGCAAAACCACTCCAGAAGTCATATGTTTTGCAAAGAAGAAGCTATCGTGAATAAAGAATTTCGTCAGACTGATTGCCAGGTAACTGTGGATCGCTGCAGTATTTGATTTCCAGAAATTAGCACCACAGAGAAGCTGGGATCATATGTTTCACGAAGAAGTGACAAATGCTCTCCACTCTGTTCTCTTTTAGTGCACCGCATCCTGTACTCTAGGCGTAAAAACTTGTTCTCTTCTTTTCAAACATACTTCTGCGCTCACACAAAATGTTAGTGTGGAGTGAGAAACGGATTTTGTAATCATAAAGACCGCAGAAATGATCATCTTTTCACGCAAAAAAAAACAAGTAAACTCATTGGACACTAGTTCAAAAACTTAAATTTATTACCTTCCATGCACCGGAGGGGGAAATGGAGGCGGTAGGCCGGGTGGGAGCATTCCAATCACTAAAGGATTTAGACGAGGGCCCATTGGACCGACGAGGGACTCCATAGATACTACCGGAAGCACGAAGGGTACCTAAAAACAAACAGAAATTAAGCTCCCGACATAGGAAGACAACAAATAAAAAAATAACCCAAGCAAATTGACGACTTCAGTTACTCCCAAACCTCTTATCCATTGAGAGACCTATCGGACAAATGCAAAACCGTTGCTCACAACTGCAGGTTGGAATTTCCACTGAGCATTCCATACACACATTCGTGGATTACTTCTCTCGAAAGTCCCCAAGAATGCCAGTGTGAAACTCTATTATCTGATGTTATCTTTAAACTGTAGCGATAGAAAACTTTGAAGAGCGCGATCATTCAGTTTGCTATTAATAACTTCCTTTCATAAAAAACAGACAGATGCTAGTGCGAAAATTTTAATCGATTTCTTGAAACTGACGACAAAAGGCGCTTAGAGATATTCGGCACGCAACTGAAAAAAAAACGAACTGATATTGCAATGGACAGCAGCTCTCTTTACGTGCTTCTATCATTATTTTGACACCCTTGGGCTGGCATAGTCCAGCAGATACAAAACGATGCTCATTCGCGAGGGTAACATAGTGTATTGCGTATTGCACATGACGCCTAACGCAATGCGGTGTACACAAGCGCAATTAAGCAACTCCAACGTTTTTAAATCAAAAGCTGGGCTTTTAACATTAATTGAGATCACCTTGCCACCACAAACTCGAGTCCATTCGCCGAGAGTGTGAAATCGTTCTTCATGTTCAGTACGAATTAGTAGAGAGTCGTTGAAATATCCCGACTGAGTCCACATCATCATCTCTTTAGCTGCATATGGCCCTACAATGAAAAATGTTCCACAATAAAGAGCAAGTCCACTGGAAAGAAATAAAAACAAAAAAAATCCTCCCAACAACGTGTGCGAAACTTTCTTCGCGACGCGGTACAAAAAACGAGGGCGCCCTATGACTGTAAACAAACGGCAAAATGCACCCAACCAGTTTTGAGGATATATCAGGTTGTTGCAATAATAGCGTCATCCACTATTAGTTCTCCCGCTGTCAACTGTATGTTGCTAATATTTCAATACAGGCAATCAGTAGTTATCGGCTAGCAGTAGGGTCCGCGACTTTTAAAACAGTCGGTCAACCTCCTCACAGCTTGTACACAATTTCTGCAAAGAAATCCAAGCTTCAAAACAACGAGCGTTTCCAGCGTTTTGAGATTGGGAAGTTTCACAAACCGGGGAGCACAAGAGATCGTATTGTCCAAACTTCGACCAGAAACGGCTGGAACCTAAGTGTGGTGACTATTTATACGATCGCCGGACCGTTGGTTTGCAATCGCGCAGGTAACCCCGTGTGGTTGTCGAACCGACTATCATTTTTGGATAAGCATCAAAAAATTATGGGAAGAAAATAGCTGTGTGCACGGTCATAAATATGAACACAAAAGTTTGATATATACGGACCACCTTGACTCGCCTATTTAACTTTGCCCATGACCTACGGCCAGCAAGCTCTATAAGCGCGTATGCGTAATGGCAGCAGTAATAATACAAGATCACTGCCGCCAACGCGTATAGGCCGACCAAAAACGAGGCAATATGTGAATAATTATTTAGTTAAGTATTTCATTCACTATGAAAGGCGAGGTCAAAACCCGATCCCGAAATGATCGAAACAGTTAAAGGAAAACTTGGAAGAGCAAGGAAACTCACCATAAATCTCGTTGTCCGGGCCATGGTAGTACCACCGGACTTCGATTGGCTTCGTCATCATACTAATGATAACCGTTGTGACACAATCGCCTGGCCCTATGACAAAATACTAAGCATTAAAGAAAAAAACGAAAATTAGGAGTAAGGATATTCAAGCGATTACTCGCTAGACACTGAATCATAACATAGTCACGTTACTCTACACATTTATGCAATCAAAACAATGAGTGCAAACACATCGCATCAAAAACTTTGGAATGAGACCAACAAAGAGGAAGGAAGGACAACATATTCAATCAATTATTCGTCATCAGCGTCAAACCACTTCTCTTCCATGTCGCGCTCATGAATTTCGTCTACCTCATCCAGGGACACATCATTGTCAACCGCATCGTAGTCGAAAAATCTGGAATGAACGACAACTACGCGAATAAAATTAGGGAATAAAAGTCAAGCCAGGTTTCATATGCAGACTGAGCCACGAAAACCCTTTCATTTAATCCTTCCACTTTGAACCAGAACGAAAAAAATTGTGGCGAAATCATTTTATTTCTGTGGCCTTCTCCTTTTCTGCCAGTTCGAGGCAATTATTCTATCGGAGGCCACATACTGTTCTGCGTTTGATAAGCATGCAAGCTGCTTGACAATATGCATGTTTTCGCTGCGGGAACAAGTGTGTATGTTACGTTCATCACACAACACACGATTTGAGCCGCTTTTATACTTTGCACAACTGTGAACTGTGGTGATAGTGCGCAAACAGGCGCAACACCATTCCGCAAAGGCGCAGCCACAGCCACAGCACGGCGGTAATCGTCGGAAAGAGAGGTCATTTCAATCGATCGCCTGCGCCTGCTTGATGATCAAAGCGATCG